AAAAACACACCGCTCAGAAAAACAAAGCTACTGGGGCCCCAAAACTCAAGAGGCAAGAGCTTCTCTCTTGTACGTGCTACTGTGCCCCAAACAGCAGGGGGATTTGCAAAGCAGAGATGGATGTATCCATCCCCACCACTACAGACAGGGCCTTGACCAGATCAAGGGAGCCATTTCCTGCCCGGTTCTAGAGCTATGTGTTGACAACCCCATTAGTAAATGTTTTCAGATGAACTTCCCTCAATTAGCTTCTTTGTCAGCGTAAATCACAAAGTAAATCGACCAGGTAGAGCTGCTACATGTGACTTTTGCTTGCTTAGCTTCAGACAAAGGAGAACGGGGCTCTGTTGCTTTGGGAGGGACAAAAGGAAAGCATGGCTTAATCCCCAAATCAGCTCCAATTCGTTTAACAGCCACAGCCCTCCACGGGCTGGTCACACGGTATCTTTGTCAGTGACAAAGTTCTGTCAACAGCAGCACCCACTATTCAACAACCCTTAGCACGGGGCACGGGAGCAAGCCACAGGGCTTATCTGTGCAGACCTTGGAATGCAGATGCTGTTTATCAACATACTACTATCTCATCTCAAACATTTTTTCCTAGAATCAGTACCCAGCTTGTTACAGCAGCTGCAAATGTTCATCTTGCAATGCCTCAGTCAGCTCTGGAGATCTAAAAATGTGGTTGTGTGTGCATACTCACAAATCCTCTACTCAGCACCAACTCACTTCTTTCATCCTGGGGTAACTTTTGTGTCCAAGTAACACCCAGTCATCCTTAGAGGAAACTGTTTATGACACACCCACCCTTCATGGTAACTTTTTTCTGCTTTTTACTAATAACTACTTCATTTCCAGAAGTAACACCGCTTTGCAGGGAAAGAACAAGAAAAGTTTGCATGCCCTCGCTAATTTCTTCTTAGTTATCAGATAGGATTGGGGTTTTTTTTTAAGTTAGCATAATCATCTTATGATATTTTAGGTGTCGAAAATGAAATGCAGACTTAAAATTGCTAGTATTGAAATAAAGCCTATGCAGTTAGTATCAAATTCTCTACAGTCACAGTTCATTCTTGCCACTCTTGAAGTGTTTGTTGTTAACTGTCCAGTCTACTGGTGTTTACGGTGTTCACATCTTTATTTCAGTTAACTGAAAATACATCAACTGACATTAACACAAATCTGCTACTGAAGGCATACTTCTGTTACTATACATATTAAAGCCTGTACATATTCAAAAGTATATGCAGTTTAAGTGGGCTGAAAACTCAAGAAAGCAAGACTGCTGAGGTCTCAAATCACACACAAAGTTCTCCTGCACATGCTACTGTTCCCTAAATCAGGGTTTAATGGAACTAGCAAAACACAGAAAACACTCTAGTCCACACCACTACAGACAGTAAGTTGACTAGAAAAGTGTAATTTCCAGGGGAAATAAATCCAGTATACACTGAAGTTCAGATAGCAATGAATATACCAAGAGAAAGCAAAAAACATTATTTATTCATTCACATGTAACACTGCACCAGAAAAAAAAAAAAAAAAAGTCACTTGCAAGGAGAATATTAAGCTCTTCTGTGCACTCATTCTTCAATTTTGAGGCTGCATCACAAATTGCAATTCCTTGTTAGGTTTAAGAGGCTCTCCTGGATAGTTTCCCTTAAAAGCTCAACTATTTCCAGACCTATATCATATAAGAACTTGGAGAACTTATTTCATAACGGCTGAGTCTTCACTAGCAAATGTGATTTTGAACCGAAATTGTGAATTTAAATTAACTTTGTTACCATTTAACATTAAACTGACAACAGTAATTTGACATTAAATCCAAGCTCAACTAAAATTTTTTTACAGTTAACTGTATTTCTGTTGTGGAGCCTATTCATGGCTGGATTAGTGAATGTAGATGATGCTCCTTTGTGCACTGTAATTTACCAAGGATAGGCCAGGTTCCAGCACCTGGGTATTTATAGGAAATCAGGGAGACCTCTACAATCTGACTCCTAAAACACATGTCAAATCCAGAGTGAAAGAGCAAGTCAACCAGCCTATGAAAATCAGGAAAGGCAAAGAATGGTACTGCAGTAGTGGAAAGCCCATTCACACCTTACATGAACCTCAGTATTTAGGGCATCTTTAAGTCCACATTTTTTCCTGAAATTCAGTATTCTCTATCATATTTCTGAGTTGAAAGGATGAACAGCACTAGTCTAAGACATCTACCATAAATACTATTGAACAGATGAGAACCAGTACTTGACTACACTGGTCACACTGCCTGGATGGCTCAAGGAGCTGAACTCCCCTGAGAACAGGTAGGCCACATCCACACTGAACCACCCAACCCCAATTCTCACCACGGCCTATAATGTAGTCCTGTGGTCCTAAGACAGTGAGGTTTCTCTCTCAACCTATCAACTACCATACCAATGCATATTAAGTGACAATAGGGCTCTGAAGTCACCAGAGAAGTATTCTACATCAAGGTGACTGTATGCCCTGAGGCATGAGGGCTGCCTGTGAGAAAACCAAGGTTACTTGGTTACTTGATACAACTGTGTGACTGCAGCAGCAGCTCAAAGCACAGAGCCTCACTGACTGCCTTTTGAGAGAGGCCTGGAACAAACCAACCCAGCACCCTACCAGCTGGCAAACCGTTAGTGTAGCCCTACAGAAGACATCACAGAATGGCTTAGGTTGTAAGGGACCCTAGAGATCATCTAAGCCAACCTCTCTGCCATGAACACCTTCAGGGAGGATTCACAACCTCTCTGGGCAACCAATTCCAGAGTCTCACTACCCCTGTACTGAAGAACTTCTTCCTAAGATCTAGTCTAAACCTACTCTCCTTCAGTCTAAAACCATCTCTCCTTGTCCTGTTGCTGCACACACTTGCAAAAAGTCCCTCTCCTGCCCTCCTCTAGGTTCTCTTCAGGTATTGGAAGGCAGTTGCAAGATCCACCCAATCTTCTCTTCTCCAGGCTGAACAATTCCAGTGCCCTCAGCCTCTCCTAACAACACAGATGCTCCAGGCCCTGAATCAACTTTGTGGCCCTCTTCGGGACAGCCAGGAAGCAAGATGGCAGTCTGCAACAGTATAGATGTCTCAGTAATTGCCACTGCTCCCCAGCTCTCCTGCACAGTAAACAGTTGCAAAAGGTATCTAGAATCAAGACTAAACTTAACAGATCCTTCCTTCTTTCCATTCAGGAAGGCCACTAGGCCTACCTCCCCATCTTACCTTCCTACAGCTGTAAGAATACTGTCAACTATCCTCTAGTGCAAAAACTTAAGTTGTATTTAGCAGTACAATGAAAACCTGGATGATTCAAAGTGTCATGTTGCCGAAATGCAAAGGATCAACAACAGTAAAACACAGGAAAAACACATTTAGAATCAGTATGAATGCTCAGCAATTGCTGAAGCTCATCTATTGCACATGGCTTTCAGGAAACAGCACACTGTTCTCCACACTCCCCCCCCCCCCCCCCCCCCTTTCTATTTACTTGAAGACTGTTCTGAAAAGTGTAATAAAACTGATTAGTGGTAGATTTTGTTTATTTATAGTTCTCCAGAATACTGAATTCCCAAGCCTATGCTCAAAGCAACAAGGATATGCCCAAAGGAGCTCTGTTTCACCATGGAAACTGGCAACTTGACCAACTCTCTTCTGTTCACATGAGTGCACAGCTCACCACTGCACAGGTCTGTCTCTCCCTCCATTAATTCCTCCTCACCTCTCCTACAAAGGCATCTCAACTTTTACATCCTCTTCTCCCTCTTCAAGCATTCATTAGTATTATACTCTAGCACTTGAGGAAGACAGTAGGATTCACAGCAAGTATTTTCAGTTGACAGCATAGTAAGAAATCAGCCTAGGTACTTTAAATTTTCGTTTTATAAGGACCTGACTCAAAGATGCTTCTAGATGTCAGTTCAGTTATCTTCTGGAAAAGAACTTAATGACTGGGAGAGTTATAAACACAGGACTAGACTCATACCAGCTTGTTACCCTAAGTCAGGCCACAATACTTTAACTATATAGAGCTGTACATACAGCTAGGTTCACACACAATAAATCATACAGAGACTCAAATTCCAGTAGGCAATGCATTCACCTAGGATCTATATCTCCCACAATGGGAGAGAGAACCCATATAACTTAAAGATTCTTAAGCAATTCTCATACATTATGAGTGTGGCCAACTGAACTGCCTAACAAGACACCTGGAAGAGAAGAGCCAACAAATTAAAGCTTGTTTAGCTTAACTCCAATCCTGAAGAACACCAAAGTAGAGATTTCAAAAAGAACAAAAGAAGCAACTGCCATAATGTATGTCAAGAACAAACAATTGAATAACTACAATAAAATTACAGTAGATACCAAATAAGCCAGATAAATGTATACAGTAATCAACTAGCCCTGACACTGTGAAGTAGCTTCAGGAAATAAAGTCAATGTGATTTTGCTTACCAGCTTGTCCAATAATATTCTGCTTACTTGAGTGTCACTAGTGATACCAACCACCTTTGTCATGCTGGCAGTTACTTCAGGAGATGCTTAAGAATTTGAAGGGTATAATGAAGCGTTTAAAATTGCACAGAACAAGATAAGAGACAGTTTTTACCATTCACATTCTAAGGTTAGATTTGAACATGTTCAGACATATTCAACTGTCAGAAGAATTAGAAATACATTTAACTGACTGAAGTTGTCCTGCATCCAGAAAGACTAGCCCTGAGACCAAGGCACCATACAATGTTACTGCAGCAATACAGCCCAGACAGACTAATTCAAGTCCTCTGATAGCCAAACTGCAAGATGACAGACAAGATTACCCATAGTATTCTGCTTTATTTTAGTCACTTCATACCCAAGGCTAGTAAAAGAACAGTTTGCCATGCTTGCACCCCAGGAGATTCAATAGAGGGAGAAAAATATTTGTAAGGGAGGACAGAAAGGATGTAATCTACAGGAAGCAAAGGAAAAATCCACTCACCTGCCATTTTTTTTAATGTAGGTTGCTAAATAACCATGGTCTTCCCAGTTATGAACTGTTTCTGTCATTCCCTGCTCCTGAAAAATGGGCTGTAGAGCTTTAAGAACAGCATTGCAATCAGCTGTAAGAGAGAAAAAAGTAATCAGCAAATATTATTTTCCACTCAAATCAGTCCTGGGTTTTCTTAGGGTTTTTGGGGGGTTTTGTTTGTGTGGTTTTTTTAAAGGCTAACAGTTTTTGCTGGCAGCCTGGAGTACTTTTTCCTTTGAGTTCCATCTGAACAATAGCTTTCACATACCATCTCCCCTCCTCCAGTCCCAAAGATATTCCTCAGTGCATGAAGATCTAAATTCTCTTTAAAATCAATCTTTACCCCTGAGCAGAAGTATTCATCTATAGGGGATGTAGAAAGAGTATTTTTACTATGGTTACTGTTGGTCACCTATTTTATCACAATCCAGGCAAGTCCTTACTCATGCAGTTTAAATTGCTTAAAAATACACATACAACAATCCCAGGAAGAAACCAGAGCACAGGCAAGAAAATTTGGTAGTATCCCCTGTTTTATGACTCAACATTTTTTCAAAGACATTGAAAACTAGACAGGGCAAGCTACCCTATCCCCTGTGCCCTATAGAAAGATCCTTTTTCTGACACCCAGGACAGATCAGGCCCCCAGCTGAAGACTTCATGATGCTATCTATAGAAGAGACCTCTCACTTGAAAAAGCACATAAAATTCACTTGGAAACGTCTAAAGAAGTTACTCTGGTAATTATCTTCAAGAGCAAAATGATATTTTGTCCATAAAGGTATTTATTCATTCAGAATATTCTGATTTCCAATGACTCAGGCTTGCTACATGTACTTTCGTGGTTTAGTTTGGTGGTTTTTTTTAAAAAACAAAACAAAACAAAACTTGATTACAACAATTTTAAATGCCCCATTCAAACAAGCATTTCAAAAACAATTTCCAGGTTTTTGTCAGTTGATTTTGGAACTGACAAGGCAAGTTAGTGGAGGATGCTAGTAAAGCTGCACCTGCCAGAACAGGAACAAAACTGCAAAGACTATCATGACAAAGTATCAAAATATTAATCTGCAGGCTTGTCCCAGTGAGGCAAGTATCATTTTTTGCTTCACAAAGACAAAACTAAGCCACTGCAGTAATGCAACATGTCAATAAAGTAACCAGGATGTAGCATCAGAAATCATCTGGTAGAGCCAAATTGTGGAGCCACAGTTTAAAACCAAATGCTGCAGCACTGACATATTGTTCCTCCTGCCCTGAAATAATCAAGAGTTATTCCCAAGGTAACTATTTTGTTTTATTCCCTGTCCCTAACTGCATACACCTTGGAAACCAGTAAGCGTAGCCTACAGACACAATCAACAGTAGTTTCCAGGATGTCAGTGATTTGAACAAGCTCCAAATAAATGCATGGGGGAAAAAAAAAAAAAAAAGTCAGCTCCTCTCATCTCTACACAACTCCAAAGTAGACTAAACTGAAAATCTAATTAATTGAAATCTGTGCTTACCCCTCCATAAAGCCTGGACTCTTATCCCCATATGTTTTAACCACAGACTGAAATAACAAATAAAGCATTTGCTTTACTTTTCCTCTACACAAAGTCGAGAGCAAGCCAATTCTCCAATATCTTGCCAAGGATATTTAAGTGGAAAGGCCCTGCTTCTCACTGCTCATACTATCTGATCTTGAATTTGTGTTCTGAGATAAACATTTTTCATCTTCTACACCCCACTCATTAACTCCTCACGTTGATAGTTAGAGGGAAATAGAACCAACAAAAAGTACGTACTGTTGGACAACAGTGAATGGTCTGCTGCTTGGCCCTTTCTCAGTCAGTAGCGCCACTGATGATTTTTACCCTCACTAATGAAACACACACACCACCTTCCCCCCCAGCCCACTATCACTACAAAGTCTTCCTCCCCCCTTATACTCCCTTCCCTAAACTCCTGTCAAAATCTGCAACATTTGTACTAATAAGTTTTTATACTTCCTCCCCTCATCAGTCAGGTACCACCACAGCATAGACAATAAAATATGCATTCTGAGCCTTATTTATCTGCCCAGTAACCATGGTCACAGGAGCAGTAAGTGAGCTGACAATCAAGTAACAACAAAAGCATAAAAGAAATGGGGCCATAATTAGAGACACAGTTCTTAAGCTCATCTGTCTCTGCAGCTTTGCACTGGGAAGGGAACTTCTCACTGCTCGCTTTAAGCTTGCAGCTTCTGGCATGCACCAGCACAGTTTTGGTGAGAGCAGGAGCAGCTGCTCCCATGCCAATACATTCACACCAGTGTGTCACTTCAGACATGTGGTCCCCTCTTGCTTGGCATTTACTTCCTTGCCCCACATTACCTTCTGCCACATCTTCCACAAAACCCATGCTCATTTCTTCCCCTTACTTATTTCTGATGCTACCGCCACAACATTAAGTGAGATTTCATTTAATAATGCATGTCATACCCCTTCCAGGCCAGCAAATTAGCATGAAACCCAAAACAAGCTAGTACCTAACTAACGCCCAGACGACTTCAATTCTGCAGCTCCTGCAAGATATTTAAGTGGTAAGATGGTGAACAGACTCTGGAAGAAAAGCTTATACCACATTTAGCTTATCTGCTTTTAAGAGCTTCAAGGATTCCTGCTAGGTGTGTTTTGGCAGAGACCACAGGACAAATCATCACTGATACAGTTCTGCTCCATGAACATACTGACCCCTCACAAGCTGCTCATCACTCGGAAACAGATTTCTTTGCTAGGCAGCCAAGCAAAAGCCTGATTGAGTTCTTATTATGCAATTAACTTTAGGAAATTAAAACAACAACAACATGCTCTTTCATCAGGTCTCCTTTTGATTATACCACACAAGATTTGCCTTGGAGGGTTAATTAATGCTCCAGCTTTGAAGACTCCTTTTTAAAATGTTTAAGGCATCAGTGGTTGCTTGAAGGTATCAGGAAGTTTCAGTAATCTCATGATCTCTCACCCAAATCCACTTGCCACCACCTCACTCCAAGCTCAGATAAGCACCAATTAGTGAAATGGACAATGGCGATAAGAACAACAGGAACACCTTGGAATCTATATAAAAAAATGTTAATTCAATTAGGGTTTTTTTTGTTCTTCAGGAACAAAGGAAACAAACGCCATTATACATACATGAAATAGTGTTGTAACTACTTGATGATTATTTGCTAGAAGGAATGAAAAGACCCAGAGTTCCAACTCTACAGAGCAGAAACAAGACACTGCATATAAGATTTGAGATATACATATTTCTCAAGAGAGTTAATGCCAAGTTAATCCAGACAGTTTTGGAATCCCAGTACACTTGAAGAGATGATTTGCAGCAGTTGCACACCTTCCTCTGAAATTTCAGGAGACAAGGAGCCACTGTCTGACAGTGATTTGTGAACATTAGCACAGCTCCAAGTCCAGTTACTGTAAGCATCCAGCCTGGCCTCATGAATAACACTGGCTACTTTCACCCAGATACTCCCAACACTGAGCTCAGTAATTTGCTATGACCCAGGCTATCTCTAAAAATGTTCTGGTTTAAGACCTCCTCATACCAGAGGATTGACAAGATCTTAGTAAACTGTGGGAACAGATTAGCTCTCATTTGAAAATATTCACCCTGTTTCTGACTTCATTTTTTTTTCTTACACTGATTTTGGAGTCTCTCACTTGCTAGAGGAAATGTAACATAACCAAAACAACAGGACAAAGCACTTATACATGCTTCAGCATCTCTGATGTATTTTTCCCTTGGTAGCTACACTCCCAATAAAGAAAAGTGAAGGACCAAAAAAAACAAAAGTTAACTGCTTCATTAAGAAGACACTAAAGAGTTACTGTACACATTAGGAGCCAAAATGCAGAATATTCTAATAGTAAATAGCAACTTGAATGACTAGCGTATTGTTTCAGTTCAAAGCTGTACAAATCACTCCAATATATTAAGTCATTGTGTTGTGCAAGTGTGAAATGCTCACACATGGGCTCTCTCTCCATCAACTCCAGTTCTTCAAAACCTCACAGGAAAAGGAAACATACAAAGATGAAGTGGGAGGGTGTAAGATATAAGTGATGAAAGGAAGACACCTGAGAAGAGATTCATTTCTAGCCAGGTAAGGTCCCTGGGGTAGCTCAAGCGGAGGGCAGCAACAGGATGAGCCTTCAACCTGTTGGAGCTGTATACCTGACTGCTCTGGCACTGAGCCCACCCGAGTCAGGGCAGACCACTCTCAGTGCCTCCCCCCACCACCACCCCCTGCTCATGCAGTAACCAGGCTTACAGGTGTAGACTGGTCCCTCTCATCCATAAACTAACCTGAGTTTTTTTTCTCCAATGCCAGTACTTATTTCTATCTTAATCATAAAAAAACCTCTAAAATTAGGGGTGTGCTGCAGCAATGCTTCACATAAATTTTAAAACTGAGACCCAAGGAGAAGCTTAAGGCTCCCATGCCTTTACTTCACATGTCCTAGATTTCCTTTAAGCACTAAAACAAATGGAACAATAACAAAAAAAAAAAAAGACAAAAAGGTACAAGTTTATGGAAAGCAAACAGCCTCATCCTACTAGCTCCTTCCCTCCCACACACATGGAACTATAGAGCAGTGGATAATAATCTGCAAATAACTACTTAGCATTTTGTCATCAACTCCTGCATAGCAATCTTATTCTTAAGACTTGGAAATTTAAGAACAGTATTCCTTTTGCCCTGGTTAAAAGTATCCTCCTGCATGGAAAATGCAGAGAACACTAGTGCTTGAAAGAGACTATCCAGGGAAGTTTCCACAGAAATATTACAGGCTCAACTGAGAGTCTGAAACAGTTGCCTAAATTGGCCCTTTTCCTCCCAAGAAGGAAAGGACCCCCTCCAAGCACACAAAGCTACTGCTTTCATCACTCCCCAGGACAAAGCAGCTAGCTTTTGCCTGATATGGTAACAGATGCAAATGAAAAACAACTGGATTTAGCAATACACACTTTCCAGGTGTTAAGTCTCCTATCAGAAACCTCCCCACACGCAGGAAGAATCCTTTTTCTCCTTGCCAGTTCTGTCAAAGCAGAAAACAGCAGG